TTGAGAAGTTTGAAATTTTTTTTTTTTTTTTTTTGAGACACAGTCTCACTTTGTTGCCCGGGCTAGAGTGAGTGCCATGGCATTGGCCTAGCTCACAGCAACCTCAAACTCCTGGGCTCAAGTGATCCTCTTGCCTCAGCCTCCCGAGTAGCTGGGTCTATAGGCATGCACCACCATGCCCGGCTACTTTTTTCTATATATATTAATTGGCCAATTAATTTCTTTCCATTTTTAGTAGAGACAGGGTCTCACTTTTGCTCAGGCTGGTTTCGAACTCCTGACCTTAAGCAATCCGCCCTCCTCGGCCTCCCAGAGTGTTAGGATTACAGGCGTGAGCCACCGCGCCAGCCTGAATTTTTTCTTTTTTTAACCAGCAAAGTATCTACAAAGCAAAAGAGCTCAGTATAGGCAGATAATTCCATTCTTACTGAAAACATTAAACAACATATTAAGAAAAGTCTCTTATTACACAATCATTAGCAGTATATTTCAGATAATTACATGGTTGTAAACATCGTATAGCAGGCAGGATAACAGAGGTCTCTCTCAAAAATATAGCATTTCAAGTTAGTAGACCTGAGCTTAAATCCTGGCTTCACCACTAACTTCATGTCCCTAGGTAAGTCATTCAACCTTTGTGAGACTCTATCTATAAAATGGGGTTAATGACTCTTCTGGAAGATGCTTAGTGTATGTTGTGAAGAGTAAGTCATTTAAAGTATATTTTAACAAGTTAAAATCTTGAAATTATAAGATTTGTAAGCCTTAATATTTCTCTTTAAAATATCTATTTTCTAGAAAAGTAAATAACATTCTTCCTTCAGCAGATAATGACTTACCTTTAAGAGCATTGCTATATTTACTAAGCATCAAGGTATTAGGTTCTGTTTAAAAGGATACAGAGACTGGGCATGATGGCTCACACCTTTAATCCTAGCACTCTAGGAGGCCAAGATGGGAGGATCACTTGAGGTCAGGAGTCCGAGGACCAGCCTGAGCAGGAGCGAGACACTGTCTCTGCTAAAAATAGAAAAAATTAGCCAGGCATGGTTGCACATGCCTGTAAGTCCCAGCTACTCAGGAGGCTGAGGCAGGAAGATCCCGTGACCCAGGAGTTTGAGGTTGCTGTGCGCTAGGCTGACACCACAGCACTCTAGCCTGGGTGACAGTGAGACTCTGTCTCAAAAAATAAATTATTAATAATTAAAAGATATAGAAATGAATAACTCTTACCATACTGATTAGCTCAACTATAAATGCATTATTCCAGACCTAATTTGGGTACTCAGTGCTGTTCAGAATTCTTTTATTCATTCCCAATTAGTAACTTCACTCATTTTCCAAATTTATCCACATCCTTTTCCCTCTCAGCTGGGGAAAAAGACCAATATGAATGAGCTTCCTACTTACACCTTCTTTTTTTTTTTTTTGAGACATTGTCTCATTTTCTTGCCCAGGCTAGAGTAAGTGCCATGGTGTCAGCCTGGCTCACAGCAACCTCAATCTCCTGGGCTCAGTGATCCTACTGCCTCAGCCTCCCAAGTAGCTGGGACTACAGGCATGTAACACCATGCCTGGCTAATTTTTTGTATATATATTTTTAGTTGGTCAATTAATTTCTATTTTTGGTAGAGACGGGGTCTCGCTCAGGCTGGTTTTGAACTCCTGACCTCGAGCAATCCACCTGCCTCGGCCTCCCAGAGTGCTAGGATTACAGGCAATTTGATAATATAGTCAACTATCTGACATCCTGTGCCAAACAGATTTGCTATCTTTCCCCAAGACTCATAACCAACACCCTCTCTCCAGCAGCTATCCTGGTCTCAAAATTTTGCTTTTCAGCCCCAGGCCCTGGGATGTGAGAAGCAGCAATTGGCACTAATAAGCAGGGACCTAATCACAGAGCAAGTGGTAGTTTCAGGTCCCTCCAGTGTCTCATCCAGTTAATCTGTACCAGGATAATTGGGAGTTGGCCAAGGTTTTGTTTGAATGTGGGTTTGGACTCTGACTTCATTCCTTCTCCATTACTCTGGTTAACTAAGACTGTACATTTGTATCAAAAACTTTACAATATGATCCTTTTTAAGAATAATTCTCCAGTAAAAAAATCAGAAATGTTCCTCATTCATTGGAAAACCAAATGCCAAACAGTAAGGAATTACATAAATTATGACATGAACATGGAATACTCTGCAGCCATTAAAAATAATTTTATAAAAGTTTATTGAAATTGAAAAATCTTTACAATGTGAAGAAACAGACTACAAAATAGTAAGGATAACATATCATTTTTGTGAAGAAAAATGCACATATGTGCATGAAAAAACTACTGAAAGGGCATACATAAAAACATTAACATTGTTATCTTCAGGCTATTGGAATGAGATGATTTTCTTTGCACTTTCTGGTGTTTTTCCCAAATTTCTGCATGAGGCTTGTATTAATTTTGTAAATAGAAAAGAGCACAATGGATGCTAACTTAATGAGAGAAGGGAAAAGGAAAAAACCCCAGAACACTGGGGAATACCTACATTTAAGGTGTTTTAGATTTGTAATTTTTATAAATTAATTTTCTCCCTTGCCAAGTTTCTTTAGATCTGTTTATCTTCCTAGCTATCTAAATACTATTATTTAGATATAATACTTATATCTAGTATTATAATACTTGGCCTTTTGCATGATGGTTAAAATAAGGGAAAATTTTTACACAAATTTTTTATTCTATAAAACAAAACATACCTCAAAACCATTATTTCTTTTATACTCTTAGCAGTCCCATGAGAAAGGCTGACCACAGACATGACAGAATCTTTGAAGTCTTAAAGAGATCCTTTAGTTTAATATAGCAAAGAAGACTTTCTGGGTAAAGAGGTACTTCTGGAAATCGTCTTAATCTTTTCAGGCTAACGCAGTAGCATTTGTAAATGACTGCTCCAGATCACTAAACATTTCTGTAGGACGAAAAGAATCCATTCCATTCTGCCCTAAAAGTTTAAGGGTAACTCAAGGAATTACTGAGCTAATCCATCTCACAATTTGGCCACTCCTCTAAAAGTAGGGTTATCATATAAAATATCTGATAGAGATATAATATAATTTGTACTCATACAATTTGTACTCATACACACTATTAAAAAATAGCCATAATGAAATAGTGATCCATGAAAGAAGGAAAAAAAACTAGCAAACTTAAATAGAATTTAAATACATTCACATGTATTTTGTTGATAAAAAAAATAAATAATAAAACAAGGGCGGGCACGGTGGCTCACGCCTATAATCCTGTAACTCTGGAAGGCCAAGGCAGGAGGATTGTTTGAGGTGAGGAGTTCAAGACCAGCCTGAGCAAGAGTGAGACCCCCGTCTTTACTAAAAATAGAAAAATTAGCCGGACGTCATGATGTGCCTGTAGTTCCAGCTATTCAGGAGGCTAAGGCAGGATCATTAGAGCCCAAGAGTTTAAGGATGCAGTGAGCTATAATGATGCCACTATATTCTACCCAGGTCAACAGAGTGAGACTCTGGAAAAAAAAAAAAAAAAAAGAAATAAAATACCTGTTAAAGAATTTCATATATTAGGCAACAGAAAATTAGGCAAACTAGAAGTGTTTTTGTCATGTAACTTTAAGAAACCATAGTGAAAATAAAGCTTAAAGGTTTAGTAATATATTGTGAAGGGACTTTATTTCTAGAATTTATCAACAACCCTCTCAGAGTGCAGCTCATTTGAATAAACACTTTTGAGAAGCACCTGTTTTGAAACAGACTTCCCACCTGGCCATGTTAATGACTATAACAATTATGCAAGAATCAAGATTACTTTTCAAGATTTGACTGCAAGTATTTCTAATATAATTAAACTTCTGTGACTAAGGAAACATAACTTTTAAAATCTAGGCTTATGTGACACTGAAGTAAACTTCAAAGCACCACCTGCAACCTAAAGGAACTAGGGGGCATCTACCAATCAGCTTAACTGTGACCAAAAATATTATCATTGCAAAAAAGCGGATCCTTAGAGAATACAGGCTCCTAAAGGACAGGAAGTTTTGTGTTTTGTTCACTGTGCCCCATCTAGAACAGTGTCTCCCACTTGGTAGATCCTCAATATTTAATTAAGGAACAAATCAAAGAGATGTTCCTGGTATATATTAGAAGTTAACCCAAATTCACTTCATATATTATCATTTAATAATCTCCCACCAACTGGAGAAGCTATTACTGAATGGCTTAAATATTATGAAGCTAATTGTACACAATATTTTAAAAGAGTCCATTGAGGTTACTGGAGGTGTACATTTTAACACTTAATTTTGTACACTTTTGAGGAAAATGTATGATAAAAAAATTATGATTTTTACTCTTGGGAAGCCCAGACCCCAGTAATTTTGAAGTTGGTATGCCTGTTACTAAAGAAAGAGTGGGACAATATTATGGGACATAACATTCCATGTATTTCCATCTTCTTAAAATCCCTTAATAAATAAGGTAGGAAAAACCAGTGCTCATGTACAGGTGCCAGTTCCTTCAAACACTGGTGTATCACTTAAGGCACCTGTGCCGGCTCTGCCTGGTGATGCTCACGGATGGAAAACATTAATCATCTGTTTGGTGTTCCCATCTTATCCATCCAGCTTCAAATATAACCTCAGTGAGCTAGATGAGTCAGCATCTGGTATTCCAAAAGCTAGTACAGCACTCCCAAAGCAAAAAAGGAAAAAAAGTTCATACTTCAGAGGCCTGAATCAGTGCCAGAAGTATCCATGTTGCCTCAAGGTTTCAGAGACTCCCTGATGATCTTTAGCTCCCTGGATACCAAGGCAAAGACACATCTGAAAGTTGCAGAAAAACAGGTGGGTTGTCATACACAAGACTGAAGCCCCAGGCAGTATAAATGGTATTTGTTCACACCACGGATTAACTGCTTTGAAGGATCAAAATGCAGAAGACAGCTATATTCAACATTTAAGAAGATTTTCTCAATAACAAAGCACTAAAAATGTGAATAAGTTATACTTTTATTTTTCAGAAGCAAAAATGGCACATGGCAACCTGCCTTTGTAAAAGACATTAAAGAATATCAGAGTAATAAGCTATCTATCTCACAGAGACAGCAGCCTGAGAAAGACTATTTTACAGCTCTCAACGAAAGTCCTATTAAATAAATCTCAGAATTATATACTTTTTACTAAATCAATAAAACAAAAATAACCACCACAACAAAATTATTTAGAACTCATGAAGTGGTATGTGAAGAAGGAAAAAGGAAAATCTGGAAATCCACATTCTGGGAGATCTCTATTAAAATCAATGAAGTTCAAATCCTAAAACAGAAAAAAGAAAAATGTTAAAACAATATTTCTAAAAGAGTCCAATGAGGTTTTTGCAAATGTACATTTTAATACTTCATTTTAGTCAACACATTTTTTCTTACTCTTGGAGCACTTCTATATTCTATAGAATATAGAATAATATCTCTCTATAGAGAGAGATCATACGAAGGACCATGCAACTATCTGCCCTATCAATGGACCTTTAGGTTTTAAGTTTCAAATCTGAGTTTGGAATCCCAATTAAATATTTATATAATAGGCTAGAACTAATAGGCTTCAGGATGAAATCACTTTTTAAATTACATCTGCTTAATTTTTACACATTATAGTTTAAAAACTATCTATATACTTTTGAAGGAAACACAATTTACAGTATAAATAATAAGATTATGTAAAACCACACAACCGTTCTCATAAAGTAGGAGAAACAATTTCCAAAATGAAGATGGCTAATATGCAATGATACAGTTGACAGAAGATGTGGTAGGGTGGGAGGTAGAGAGAACTGTGTTACAGAATGTACAAAGAAAACCTAGATTCTAGTTTCAGTTCTGCACTAATTAGTTGTGTTTCTTAGTCTCAACTTCTTCACGTCTCAATATGTTCCCTGGTAAGAAGAGGCAGATGGATCTCTAAGCTTCATTCCAACTTTAAAACTCAATGACCCTTACAGTTTAAAAGAAAAGATTGGAAAAACTTTTCCAGCTGAATAAATTCCTCAAATCTTGTGGGATCTATCACTGTTTAATATCATGACAATAACTATCAGGTATATCCCATAATTTTACTGTGAGAAAAGAAAAAAAAAAACCTACCTAAAAGCCTCAGGTTGTAATGTTAAAAAAAACAAAAAAAAAACCCAACTACCTAAAGGGCCCCAAATTGTACTTTTCATCCTATTTATACACGATGACATAAAAAACAAATGTCTCTTCCCTTCCTGACCTCTAGAAGCAGTTATAGAGCTGACTGAAAATCCTAGTAATACAAAGGTGGCCAAGACACCTACCCTGTCTTTCTCTCTGCCTGTCCAGCTCTGTGAAAACTGCTAGGTAGTTCAAAGTGAACTATTACCCAAAAACTACCCTTCACCCTACATGTTACTATACATTGGATTTCTCCATTACAGAGAATGATTACACCAGGAAATGGTTTTCTTGATATTCTATCAAAATCCTTTCTGAGAAAAATCTTGCATTATTGGAAGATTATTAGAATAGAATAAACGGTGGCTGAAATAAAATAGTGGCAGAGTCCTAAAGAACCCGAGAGTTAAACCAGGAAGACTGATAGTATCTCTGACTTCCGTAGGTACATTACTGATTTAAAGCTAAGGCCAATTAATAATTCCCATGGGCAAGGCCAAACTTTAGGTTAGAATAAATGCTTATAGGTAGTTTAGATTTAGACTCTATCAACTTTCAGGTTTAGGGAAGAAGAAAAAGAAAAGAGGTTAAATATTATAATGACCCTTGGAGAAATGGGCAGCAGAAAATATCTGCTATATTGAATTATTTATAGCACATACTTTGATCATAATCATCATATAATGAGTATCTTTTTGCTTTGATGTTATTTTCTTCTTGTGAACTTTGTCCTTTAACCATATTCACTGCAGAGAGTCTGAATTGGGAACTGCAGGAGCAATGCACATACATAAAAATATTTTTCAAAGGATTAGAGATGTTTCAGGCATATGTACACCTGAGTTTCTGCATACGAAAAGAGGTTTATGACACCAGATGATCTCTTAAAATTTCCTCTGTTTCTAAAATTCTCATAATTTTATATGAATAATATGCTACTATAATAAGATTAGATATACATATCACTTACTGTTTCTTTTTGAAAATATTTATGGATATAACTGTGTTTTTCTAAATGTTTCATTAGTAATACTCAGTCTTGTAAGTCTGGTTCCATAATAATCTATAATGTAACTACTTCCATCTGAAGGTCCAACAATCTAGAAGAGACAAATTTTCAAAATTACTCATTTTACAAAAGATATTTCACAACAATTTGAATTTACATTTCTCAATTGTTAATAAAATCATTTCAGTAGCAACAAAAATCCAACTCAAACAAACTTAAAAGAGTAATTTAGGGCCAGGCGAGGTAGCTCACGCCTGTAATCCTAGCATTCTGGGAGGCTGAGGCGGGAGGATCGCTTGAGGTCAGGAGTTCAAAACCAGCCTGAGCAAGAGCGAGACCCCATCTCTACTATAAATAGAAAGAAATTAATTGGCCAACTAAACATATATAGAAAAACTTAGCTGGGCATGGTAGCGCATGCCTATAGTCCCAGCTACTTGGGAGGCTGAGGCAGTAGGATCGCTTGAGCCCAGGAGATTGAGGTTGCTGTGAGCTAGGCTGATGCCATGGCACTCACTCTAGCCTGGGCAACAGAGTGAGACTCTGTCTCAAAAAAAACACCCAGTAATTTAGTAGCTCATGTAGCTAAGAAGGATACTGGGGCAGCTCACAAGATCAAAAGAAAAGCTGCAGGAAACAAGGCCTCAAGGATGAATTCAGTTGCCCCATGAGGCTCTTGGTTTGGCCTCCCTGCCTCTTTGCTTAGCTCTGCTTTTCTTCATTCTGCAGACATGAATTCTCAATCGCTTGCCAATAGCTCTAGAGTCATATATTCCCAGCTCAGCAGCTCCCAATATAAAGAAAGAAAAATTTTCTTCCCCAGTGTTTATATACCAATTTTAGGGAAAGACTTTCATTGATCTGCTTGGTTTTTATGCCTATTGCTGGACAAATTACTATATCCAAGGGAACAGGATTAATATAATTGGCCAGGCCAGGCTCCCTGTGGGAGATGAGGTAGTGTGATTGACAGTCCTGCCATAACCACCTGGAATGGAAAAGGAAGATATAGACAGAAAAAAACCACACATTCACTACAATCATCTTGTCCATATATTCACATTTGTGACAATCCAGTTAACATGATCTCTACTTATCCTATAAGGTAGCAATCTTCAAACTATAGCCTTAAGACTTATCAAGGTGTAGGTGGGCCCACAGAGTTTTATGGGAATTAATTTTGAGATCCTTGATTCCCGTAATACTCTTTGTAAAATGAATGGTATCTGCCTGATACCACACTTAGTGGAAGCATCATTACTAGTTTCCCTCCTCCCCCCTTCCCCTTTCACTGTGGTCCTTCCTCCAACTTGATAACAGTAAAGCATACCTACCATCAAAGGGTACCCTGAGTCTTATGATGGCACATCACCCACAGCTATAAAAAGCTCTGAAGAGTCAAATAAACACGTAATTTAAAATATTGAGGCCGGGTATGGTGGCTCACGCCTGTAATCCTAGCACTCTGGGAGGCCGAGGCTGGCGGATTGCTCGAGGTCAGGAGTTCAAAACCAGCCTGAGCAAGAGTGAGACCCTGTCTCTACTATAAATAGAAAGAAATTAATTGGCCAACTAATGTATATAGAAAAAAAAATAAGCTGCGCATGGCGGTGCATGCCTGTAGTCCCAGCTACTTGGGAGGCTGAGGCAGAAAGATTGCTTGAGCCCAGGAGTTTGAGGTTGCTGTGAGCTAGGTTGACGCCACAGCACTCACTCTAGCCTTGGCAACAAAGCAAGACTTTGTCTCAAAAATAAATAAATAAATAAAATATTGAACTTAGCAAAATTTTTAATCAAAGGTCCAAAAATACATTCTGCCATATCTGTTCCAAAGATGCATTCCCAATAACATTTTATATTTTTGCCTAAAAATAATTTGCTGAATTTGTAACACACTTACACGCTGTTTTGATCAATTGTGTATCATTAATAATTGTAATGATGACTCAATCCAGAAAACAAAGAAAATCTTAGAATATTTTAATTTTAATGATTAAGATGATTAGTAGGAGTTTTCAAGTATAAAAATATATTACATTAGGATAAAACTCTGTGGAAGAAGAGACATAAAAATAAAGACTCAAGGAGAAAAAGCAATATAAAAATTACAATGGTTAGTGAACAGTTCATTTATATCTTTTTTAAGTGAATGATATTTAAAATCCTATGGTATTTATATTCTGTTGGATAGATTTCAAAACTGATGTAACAGTTTTATTTAAATATGTCAATATTTGCAAACTACAAACTACATCCTTTGCAACTATTTAAACTTATGATGGAAAACTTAAATGTCAATTTAAAAATATGAGAAGGGTATGGACTTTTTTTTAAATTGAAGGACATTGCTATAAAGCAGTCTTCATTTTTAAAATGAATTTGGTCTTAAAAGCTATTCAGCAAATATTAAATTCCTACAATATTCCAGGTACTGTGATTGGCATTATACATAAAACAGTAAATAAGATACCATCTCTACCAACTGGAAGCTTATTTTAGTGAACTATAGATGTTAACAGTTATAAATGTTACTTATAAATTTAAGTAAAAATTAAAACCTTTTTAGTGGCCAAAGTCACAGAGGAAACTACCATGAGCATTAAGCCAAGAAAGAAAAGAATAGGTAACTAGAAATTACAACGTATTTTGAGACTGTATGAGGTAAACAAAAAAAAACGGTAAAGCCTAGCCAGCAGAAACAGGCCAAATAATATGGCAAAAATTTCCTAATTTGGAATATGTATACAGACTACAATTTAGCGTTTTGTCCTATTATCTTTTTCATCCTACACCATCTCTACTGATAATCTTACTTATTCCTGTTGAGAAAAAGTATCCAAAAGTTAGAAATAAGGTAAATGTACAATTGAGTGACCTTTTAATATCATACATATTGATATGCATGATATTGAAATGAGCCCTACCTGAAGCTCATTTGACTTTCTCAGGAAATGTAACTTTTTAAAAACCGATTAGGGGTAGGGAGGGGTGGAGGGAAGAAAAAACAAAGGGAAAAATAAATAAATAAAAACTGATTAGGGCCTGGACATTTTACAATCTTGTCAAGTTAGCAGTTAACTTGTAGAAAAATGATAATGTGTTGGTTCCCTCGCCCCCCAGCCTGTAGAGAACATAGCCCCCAAAGATTGCAGTTTTATTGCCTGGTTATATATGATCCAATTTTGTATCAAACTTAGCAATCTTATTACAGCATTTCTTTTCTTTTTTTTTTTTTTTGAGACAGAGTCTCACTTTGTTGCCCAGGCTAGAGTGAGTGCCGTCGCATCAACCTAGCTCACAGCAACCTCAAACTCCTAGGCTCAAGCAATCCTTCTGCCTCAGCCTCCCGAGTAGCTGGAACTACAGGAATGTGCCACCATGCCCAGCTAATTTTTGCTATATATATTAGTTGGCCAATTAATTTCTTTCTATTTATAGTAGAGATGGGGTCTTGCTCTTGCTCAGGCTGGTTTCGAACTCCTGACCTTGAACAATCCGTCCGCCTCGGCCTCCCAGAGAGCTAGGATTACAGGCATGAGCCACCATGCCCGGCCTTATTGCAGCATTTCTTTCCCCTCAAACTATTAATTCTGGTTCCTTGACAATCGATTCTGACATGGTAATTCCACTTTTCTTTCCACTGATTCATTCATTCAGCCTGGGCAAGTAAAGAAATTCTGGGCAATCGCCTATCAGACATGTTCATTCAGGGACTTACTTACTCTTAAGAAGATATACATGAAAGGAAACAGGTCTTTTTATACCCCTGAAAATGACTCTATAAGGAAGTGATGCTAACCAAAGGATCTGAAGATGGCAGAGAGAAAGAAGCTAAGAAGAAAGGAAAGAGGGAAGATTGAATGGATTGGGATCCTTCATTAGGTCCTTTTGCTAATAAATCTTAGAACTACCTTATATACAGATTGCTATACAATATAAAAAGTGTTACAAGTAGCCAAATTCTAATTATGCGCTTGTCTTCAATGCCTCCTACACACCACTTGCCAGGTCACCAAAACACAACACTAGCTGCTTTTCTCTGCTAAAACAATTTGAAGAACTGCCCCAAAGACAACCAAATTAAGTCAGTAAGGTAAAGAACTAGACTGAAAGGAACTCTTGGAAGAAAATGATCAAATAATTTAATCCTCTTTGGATCTCAGTTTTTCTTATCTATTATAATAAAGAATAGAGCAAGCTGTAGGGCAGTTTTTAAGTTCTAATGTCTTCTATGACTACATTTAAATGCAAACACCTCAGCTTAAGCCTCTACAAAGTATCATATTAATATATTAATACTTTTCTATAGACTATCCTAAGAAAATTGTTCTCCCTATTTACTTTTAAAAAAAACTATCAAGTATAAAGGTTTTAGCTATTCAGATCCATATTCCCTAACCAAAACTAAAAAATAAATCCATATTTAAGCATTTCATATACATACATATAAATGTACAAATTCTAAAATCCTTCATTATGAGTATATTATTATACTGTAATTATAAAATTATAACAAATCTTTTAAAATATCCCATACTGGGAAATTTTTTACTCAGTGAATATGCCCATGTCCATTTGTTCATTAACAACAGAGCACATGAAACCTAAAATTATGAGTTTATTTCTCTGCTAAGAAATATCCTGAAGCCAAATTGTGAAGTATTAAGTATTTTCCATTCAATAAGCTGGGGAAAATTTCTGAAATCAAGGGGGAGAAGAAAGACCATTTACACTCTTAAGCAATTTTGCACAATAGATATCAATGTCTCTTATGCAAGAAGCCCTAAAAATCTTGAGAAAACAACTTTATACATAACCCTCTGTACTAGTTTCCCAAAGCTGCTGTAACAAATTGCCATAAATTTAGTGGATTAAAACAGAAAAAACGTATAGTTGTGGAGGACAAAAATCTGCAATCAGCACAGCCCCATGTCCTACAGAGACTCTGGGGGAGAATCTTGTCTTATGTCTCTTTAAGCTTCCAGTGGCAATCGACATTTGGCATTCATTGGCCTGTGGCTCTTTTCATTCTAAGGACATTTGTCATTTGATTTAGGGCCCACCTGGATAATATAGGAGGATACCCTTTTA